GTGGGAGTTTAATTAAGTTCAAAACTAGTTCCATTTCTGGTTAAGTGTCATTCTTGGGGTGGGGGTGTTCTCGCCCAAAACTTCACCTCTGCCTGTTAAAGGAGAGCAAGATGGGACATGAGAAAACCAAACAATTCCTCTGTAGCTGTACAAATGGCAAATAAAGTATGATTTGTTTTAGTTATAATCATTATAAAACTCACACTGATGGTAGCTGTACTGATTTAATCTGCCGTCACTGTGTTTTGTGGTGAAAAGACGAACGACAATGGCTGAATGTAATTAACTGTCCTGGGGCAAAGCTTAACGCAGGGGTAAGACTCAAGTGCAATTAATGGACATTGTTACAACCAGAAGAATGACACTGAAAGAATGTCAAATGTGAGCAAGCTGGCAATTTCCATTTCAAGTTAAGCCCTTCAACTGACAGATGGTTTGCAGCCGGCAGTTCTTTATTTATTTCTCGGGATCAGTCTGATTTAAAACTCAGCAGTTACTGGGAAATAAAGGCTTCCTGCTCCCTTCGCAGTGGGATTTTTAACAGGCTGCTAATGAAATCCTAAAAAGGGGAATAAATGAGAAAAGCCTGCAGAACGTAATCAGAGAATTCCACAGTGCACGACATGCCCTGCCGACTAGTATGCATGGGAATGGAAACTCTGCATCACTTTGCCCAAAAATCTTTAAATGCTGCTGTATCGACAGGCCAGTAAAGCCGCAAACCATTCAACTCCATCTGATTAACCATTACAGGGACATTCCTCAGTACCAAGACACAGTCGTGGCAAGACCGATCTTGCTAACTCGCCTCCCAAGACCGATCTTGCTAACTCGCCTCCCAAGAACGAACTTGGGGCACAATGAATCATGGGATTGGTCTCGTTTGCCGGTAGGTGATCACTGTAGAGAAGTTACGGTAACAGGCAGAGGTGGATTAGCTTCTCTGGGGGCCCTAGGCTGAAATGGTTAGGCGGGGCACTTGGGCTATTTTTTAAGCCGAGAGAATTAAAAACGATGCAACATCAATAATCCGCTAATCAGCATGCTGGTGACAGCGATAAAGCTTGCTGAGCGGGTGGGGGGTGGGGGGGGTGTTGCTTTTCCGATACAGGGCCCCTGACTTTAGTGGCACACTTGAGCTATAGCCTATGCGTTAATGATTGGCTGGATGTTGTAAGCGTGGGACGCTGTTGTCATACTGCGATTTTCCTGGTCGCGGCTTGGTGGAAGTTTTAAGGTCACTGTCAGTGGCTACTATCAGAATTTGGTGGCCTTTTACAGAAGCAGGAAGTTAAGGTGCTCTAATCGCAAGCAAAAGTGTGTATTTTGTTCCCTTGTTTATTTTTTTTTTCCCTGAAGGTGACCTGGTGATCATCCTCAGAGAATCTGAACTACATAAATGCATTAAACGCACCTGCTTAGAAAATAATTCGGCCATGTTTCTCTCTGACAGATGGAAATTTCTCGTTCTTCAGGCTCCATCTGTGTGCAAACTGAGCTCCATCATCTTGCCGGGATGCTGATTACCCTGCATTCATGCTGGCCTGAAAAAGGCGAACATTCTATATAATTTATTGATCTGAACTCAGAGCTCAGAACACTGTTTTGCCTTTATGTAGAACATATAGGAATCCATTATGGATTTCATAGAACAAGAAGCATGGACAATCGTAATATATACACACACATAAAACAACCAAAACAAGCTGGAAGAATAATTGCCAGACAATTATTTACTCTATAACATGATACAAAACCAGCAGAACTGCAACATCAATGTGCAAAAAAACAGATGTGCAACAGCATAGAATTGATCTGATGTGTTATGACTGAGTAAGGAAGTTCTAAGTGGTGGGAAGGGATTCCAGCTGGGGGTGGTGTGTAGCTCAGTGGGGTAGGAATCTGTACTCATGTTCTGGTCATGGGTTCAAATCCCATATCAGTAGATGTGGTGCGTAACTCAGTGGGGTTGGAATATGCACTCGTCGTCTGGTCATGGGTTCAAATCCCATCTCAGTAGGGGTGGTGTGTAGCTCGATGGGGTAGGAATCTGTACTAATGTCTAGGTCATGGGTTCAAATCCCATATCAGTAGAGGTGGTGTGTAGCTCAGTTGGGTAGGAATCTGTACTAATGTCCAGGTCATGGGTTAAAATCCCATATCAGTAGAGGTGGTGTATCATTTCAGTGCCCATGGGTTTCTCCATCCTCTGTTTGCCAGTGTGTGAGTTAGGATACTGTGTTCAGATGGTTGCCAGTTCAAAACCTAGGATCGGTATAGTGATCTTGTCATTGGACCCTTGAGTAAGGCCCTTATCTCTCAGTTGCCCTGGAACTGACTGACCCTGAATTCTCTGTGTCGCTTAGGATAAAAGCATCTACTACATAAATGTTATGCAGTTAATCATGGTTCTCTGGCTGAAATGTGGTCATTTGCTGGAATGAGGGGGATCCACAGCCCCACCTTTAGGTGCTGGGCAGAATTTAAATGGCTTGCTTTTGATTTCCAAGGGAAAATCTCTCTGATGTGTCCAGGAATGACACATTCTCTGTCCATCGCTCTCTTGGTTATACAGTAAGTGTTACAGTCAAGTGAACAGTTCTATTACTGTGCAGACTGAATGCTGAAAAAAAAACCCATCCATAGAAATGAATTTTGAAGATTACTTTTTTTTTTGTGTTCAAGGTTTTACAGCTAGTTGAGCTTTGAGCATCCCCAACTCATCGCAAATTGCTTCGTTACGTGAGAAATTTTAATCCAATAACATTAATCTGCTTTGAATACCTTTTGCCCATATATTTTTATATATGCTCATGTAATCCAGTTTAACAGGAAGATTAGATCACGTTTATGCCTTTTGTGTTTCTCTTACTTTTGCTACATTAGGAACATACCTCACTGGCCTGATTCACCTATGATTAAAGGATTGTACATGTCAATCCAATTAATGGCCTACAGGGGATTTTTTCCAGATGATTTAATTTGGAAAGACTGACAACATTATTTATATGTAAAATCCCTTTTATTTGCAGTAATTCTCTCTTTTTTGGCCCATAATCCACATTTTTTGAAATTCTTTTTGAAATACGCAGAAACATCGGCGTGCTTGTAACCTTCGACTGTCCTTTGCATTTTGAGTATGAATTCAGTACACAAATATCAAAGGCGTTTTTGCTAATGCTCTTTCTTCTAAAAACGGGATTTTTAAGCTCTGCGCTCCTTCTTTTAACCCTTTCAAGCAGGGATGTTATGGGCTTTCTGTGCATTTCTTTAACTTATCTCTTATTAATATGTGCTCCCATGTTGCATGTAGCTCTGTAGTTTTCTCACTGGGACAGACCTCCTTAGGGGCATTTCTGCTTCCCTGGATCTCGCATTCAGGGCGTGACACAGAGGAGGAGAATTTCACTTCAGCTGCGTCAGTCCATGAAAGCATAGCTTTTAACCCAGCTGCCCTTCCCAGCTGCATGTTCCTCATGGAACATGCAGCTTTGGAGCTTCTCCGTCAGGTGCTCCACTACTACAGGCTGCTTCCCCTTCCGATGTAGCTTGACCTGGAGATCTGTAGGTTCCTCTGGCTGTGTGTGCGCTTAGTCATAACAAAATATGAGCTTTGCCCGTTAAATCCTACACACCTACATCTCCCTGCCAAGTGTACGGTCATCATGGCTCGTTACCGTAGCGGCACACCATCTGGGAGCTCGCAGATCCCTCACAAACGCCTGCACCACAAGGACAGCGGGCGGCTAATCTGCTTTAATTTTCCCTTTAAACTGACCGACTGAAGGTTTATACTCTTTCTACTTGCGTGAGCTTTTAAAATTCGAAAGGCAAAGTGGTTTATTCCAGTGATGCTTCGCAGTCTGGCATGTGTCTACATTTCAGGTGGGTGGGCGATATTATTCAGCTGTATGCACCTGGGTTTGAGTAATGCCTTTCACAGTACGGTTATAGTGTTATTACTCTGGTAACTGTTAAGGTGCAGTGTAGCTGCAAAGCATAGCATTAGTAGCATATTATGTGTAGTTTGTAGTCTTCCTTGCCTTCTGTGTTTGTTTATTTCAGGTTATTAGCTGCTAATGGGATCAAACGGCAGCAATTTTCTGAGAGTTGTTTTAAGGAGTTGACTGAAGTCACTGCTTTCTGTGAGAAGCTCAGTCGCCCTGGAAACGTCGTCGTTGTCATGGATTGGAGCAGGAGCCCCTTACATCCAGGCTGATAATGTTTACCTGGGAGCATTGAAAACACAGCCTGGATTTGGATTCGAGGTCCAGATTTGAAGATCCCTGCTCTAACCTCTTCAGGGTTGGAGGGGGTCCTCCAATCCTGAAGTCCTTAACTTAAATTGTTAGTTCTTTGCTGAGCATATATGCACTCATACCCTGAGGCAATTTAAAAGCACTAATGAGCCTGACTTTATGTTTTTGGATTTCAGTGGAAAACCACATTATCTCATACATCCCACACCCACAGAGATAAGCTAGGGTTTGAACCCCCAACCCCACAGACTAGGGCTAACAGTGCTGACCACTAAGCCACAGAGATGTCTGCTGCTTAAACCAAACACACGAAAGCACATTAGCTGTTTTTCTGCTTTAAGGCTGAGCTCCCTCGCGCGTCTGGTGGGGAAAAGGCATCTGAAGCGATTCCATGGCCTGACAGAACCAGAATCCCACTGTGATGTCCCATTAAATCTCAGGTTTCAGGAGGAATTCCCCCTCCCATCCCCCATCCTGGGAGCAGTTAATTTTATCTTTCGCAAAACAGGAAACCTTTAATTTACAAAAAAAATAAATAAACAAAGTTTAGCATTAATTTAAACATTTTATGCCTTATGTATATCCAGAATCGCCCTGGCCAAAGTTCCACTTGCCCTCGCGTTGTCGTTAGCGACCAGCACTACAGTCCACAGCTGAACATGTGAAACGACACAGTTAATAATTTATTGGCTCCACCGATTGGTTTCTGCGCCTCCGCTTCCAGCAGAATTCCCCGGAGCGATCCCACCCAGAGACAAACAGAAACACGATCCGTCTTCAGCGGAGGAATCCATCGATTCCCGCCCCGTGTTTGTTTTTACTCAGACTTCTCCATTGATCAGAGGGTCAAGCGGTTATCCGGCTGAGTTCTCTGTATCAACTCACTGATTGCATCCTCAGAACGGCTTCTCCATTCAGAGCATGTTCGGGGTACTTACTGTCTAATAATGTGGGAAGCCAAGTAGGATCCTTTTGTAATTCCACACTGCTCGTCCTGGATTGGCAGGATGCCGAAATCAAGGTTCTGATACGCGGTGGTAGAAATGAGTCATAGGAGCAGGACTAAGGTGCGATAGGGGGCTTCGGGCACATGTAGGCCAAGGGTGTGTCCGCACCCATGTTCCTCTCTTTGCACCTCGGAGATCCTGCCTGGACCTCATTATCTCCTGACGCGTATTGTTGGCCACTTTGTCACCTGACAGACGGACCATGAGGAGCCCTCCTCGATCGGTTGGGCCTCGGGCTGCCTTGCCCAGAAGGTCTACCTGACGGGGCCATCGTGAGAAGCCTGGAATTCCCGCTCTGCCAGAAAGCTGCAGAAAGCTGTGGGCTCATGAGCGGAACCCCCTGATCTGGGCCGGCACTTGGCCAGAGGCTCCGGGAGGCCCTTCAGAGTGTGTCTGTCAGGCTGGCATGAAGGCAACTGCGGAGCGAGCTGGTTGTTCGTGGGAAATGTGGGAGGTAAGTGGCTGTGCGAGACTTAAGGCACCAGCAGTGGCGAACGGCACCTGCTACCGACTTACCTCATTGTTAGCCATGGCACGTTAGCATTGTAGCTTATTAGCATTGTCACCAATAGGTGTGTGTGTGTGTGTGTGTGTGAGCGAGCGAGAGAGAGAGAGAGATAGTGGTTACAGAAGGTGAGTTTTGATGCAGACACTGGAATATGGCTTGGGTGTGTGGGGGTGGCTTTCAAAATGTAACATTCTCAGAAACCTGAAATAGGTAATTCTCACTGTGGGGCAGCAAAGCAGTTTCTGCCCTATACTGTACGTTTCCCCCTCCCTAGAGGCAGCATAAATGTTCTGGGGGATTTCACCCACGCTTGAGGCAGGGAGGGGGGCGACTGGGCCAGATGCAGAGCACAAGCAAATGCGAGATGGAAATGAAGCCGGTTTGGTTCCGGTCCGTGAAATGATGTACCTTGTGCTCATTGTGATCCATATCGTCATAGTGTGGAAATTTAAATATCTTCACAAAAGATTTCACACCATTACATTTGTGGTTTCTTTTATGCTTTTATATAATGTGTATTTTTGCATTCATTTATTCAAGGTATTTTTTTGGATTCAGCATCAGTTGGTAATCTATGCACTGTAAAACAACATCGGGTGTTAGGAGCTCCTGACCTGCAGCCAGGCATTAGCTGGTCGTGCGTGTTTCCAGGGGAACTCACATCTGACCTGTAGCTACACATCATTACACCATGGCTACCTGAGGTTCTCCTCCTGTAAACCCTCTACACCCCATGCTGATCCGTCTCTTCCTCGCCGTTGACCAAATTTCAGGGTCTGTTCGGTGGTGGAGCTGGAGTGTATCGCCATCGAGTGTGGAAACGCCAGTACGACAGCGCCCTGCTCCTCTGATTGTCTGCATTATTTAGTGATGAACTGCCCCTTAACTGACCTCCTGCTGTAATTTTGCAGTCTTGCGTGTTTCCTGGCCTGTCAAGCACTTGCACAACGTGTTGGCCAGACCTCGGCCGCCATAGAGAGGCCGCTGGGACCTGCGAGACATTAATGGGTGGACAGCTCCGCTCGCCAGTGACAGTTCTGTCATTATTGTACTGTGCAGTCCTGCTTGGTAACCTCCCTCCATTACCGAGAGCCCCAGGAGGACTAGAATGGCTCTCCACACAAAAGAGGGAGGGAAATGGGTTTCTGCTCTCCACTTATACCTTCTCCAATATGGTCTTAAAGCTGTCATCACTTTGACTGATGACCTAAATGTGCCAATCAATGATGTTGAAGAATGATCCTCCTTCCTAGGGGAGATGCAGTACACAGCAGACAGAGATGGAGAGAGAGAAGCATACTGAGATGTTCAGCTGGCGATTTTAAACCACGTATGCAGATGAATTAGCCGTTGCTAACAGCGGGATTAGCCACCTTTGGGTTATGAATTCTTGCCCTTAATCAATACTTGGCTTGGCCCCGTGCTTCAGGACTGGGTCCAGCTGGAACAGAAGGGCTCATTTGCAGTGTCCGGCTAAATGCAGCCTTCAGCACTGAGGTTGCGCACTGCACTCATGCACAATCGGGCCACGCATGAAAGTACGCACCCAGACACGTACCGTTTCAAAACCCACGTTCCTTACCAACAGTGTAGCATTCCACCCAGGAAGCCGCCTACTGAGAATTACACCATCCAGAACCAAGGCGGATTATCCGTAGATACATGGAACACTGGCATGCAGATGCAGGCGTGCGGCTCGGTGTAACCTGGGTGTGCTGGGGGAACAATCCTCTGAGCTGGTACTCACAATAGGGGGGAAGTGCTCCCCCTCCAGGCCCAACTTCCTGTCAGATGGGACCCCGTCATGTGAAACAGGAATGATGCCCAGAGCTGCTGGTGGAGGTCAACATCGAGCTTGCGGTGCAGCAGAATGTGTGTGTATACACTCACCTAAAGGATTATTAGGAACACCATACTAATACGGTGTTTG